CAGTGTCGGGCAGCTCTCGCACAGCGTTTTCACTCATCCATTAGTGTGATACGTCGCTGAGGAAAGACCCAAGTTCCAAACTGACTGAGGGCCTGAGACTGGTGCGGCAAGCGCGACACAACACAGGCGGCCGCCATGCCGCCATTTGAACCGGGCATCACCGACCCCAATTTTGTCCCACCGACACGAGGTGGCCGCAACACACGGCACGGGTGCCAAGTGTAAGCTTCTCAATTCCAATAGTGAGCAGCTTGGACAAACTGTGCCTGGTTCATTCTCCTACAACATAGCATTGTGAACTATATACATGCCTGCCCAAGACAAAAAGAGGATTGTGAGTGCCGGAGCGGGCCGGAGGGAATCGACCCACAGTGCCGGCCAAAGTGGGGGCAACGGGCGGCGACTGCCCTCGAAATCCGATACCTAATTGGGTAGTACCTAGGTACCTCTAGGTAGGTATAAGTCACGGATGTCATGACACGACCTCAATGCTTCGTACCTTTCCTTACGTGCTTACTTATTATGGAGACGGATGCACTGATCTTACTGCGAAAAGTGATGTTGAAATTCGGGAATTCACTCAGTTCAGACACTCGCATAATTGTGTGTAGCTGCAGTTGCTCTTGCGCTACCGCGCCTTGATGTGTCAAGGCATGGAGGCCAGGTGTTGTAGCTAATCCCGCACAAGAATCTTGATTGAATGGACGGATGGCAGGAAGTTCAGATATCGGATATGCTGAGGAGACAGTGTTCGCAGGGACCGTAGACGAGAAATGAGACCCAACTCAACTGTCATCGAATGTTGGAGCGTTCCATTTCCATGACATGACGGAGGTCGCTTCCCATGGCCCAGGCAGGCGGGAGACCCTGAAAGCTCTTAAGGTGGGGGTGACCAGGTGAGCTGAGCAAAGCAGGCAATCCCAACGATGCCGATTGGCTGCCATCCTTGCATCAGCACATGGACCCAAGCTAACGCGCCCCTCTTCCGCCCCCTATCGCGACGCCTATCGAAATGGTGACGGCAGCTTTCGAGTTTTCGGCCTTACTCCTTGTTCGTCGCTCATTCAGCGTCGCACCTCTTAGCTTCCGCGCATCCTCCCCTTCGCATCCAGGTAATGCTGCGCGACCACACATTGACAATACGCCTTTAATACGCACCCGAACTCGCTGCGGCATGCTGTAAGGCCGATCCAGCGATGGTTGAGATTGCGAACCATGTACTGAGGAGTTCGACTGCGAGCTTCGTCCGCCTAGCTCGACACCGACACCATGCTTCCCGTCGCCTAGCATGGCGCTCTTACGTTCGGTGGCAATCCGCAATCGCTGCAGATGCCTCCAAGACAAATGACATCGCAGAATCACAGCAGAGTCTAGCCCGTATGATCATGCGCCTACCTAGATATTTGCCTAGTCATTTGCTAACATCTACAGTCCCGTCGCAAGCGCGCTTCAACGACATCGGTGTCCAGCACCTCAGCGCTCACGTTTACAAACAACTCTTCCCCGATGGAAACCCCCCGCCGCCTTCAGAACTTGTCGAACTATCCAAGGATCATCTGCGCCGACACGATTTGCTCGGCAAGAACACGGACAATAGCGACCCCATCGCGTTCGATTTACCAGAACTCCAGGGACGTACGTTGGACGAGCATTTCTACAAGCTGGCCGTCGATTCTGCCGAGCCGTACCTCTCTTTTGCCAAACAGTTTGCAAGGGCGAGCGCACCACCAAAACCGCGGAAATGGGTTCGCCGGAGTGGCTGGACCAAATACTATCCCGATGGCCGAACCGAGGTGGTCGATGCGCCGGACGAGTCGATGATCTGTTTCGATACCGAAGTCATGTGGAAGGAAAGTTCGTTTGCCGTCATGGCTTGCGCCTCAAGCCCGACAGCATGGTACGCCTGGCTGTCCCCTTGGCTCCTTGGCGAATCCGAGTCCGATCGACACCTGATCCCATTGGGCGACCCGACCAAAGAGCGTATAATAGTAGGACACAATGTTGGATATGACAGGGCGAGGATATTGGAAGAGTACGACGTGAAACAGACTGGCAACTCGTTTCTCGACACCATGTCGCTTCACGTCGCTGTGAACGGCATGTGCTCGCAGCAGAGACCGACGTGGATGAAGCACAAAAAGAGTAGAGAACTACGAGATAAGATTGCAAACGAAACAGACGATGTGCAGCTCGCAGAACTTCTAGGCAATAGTGCTTTGCGGCAAGAAGAGGAAGAGTTGTGGGTGGAACGAAGCTCGGTCAACTCACTCCGCGATGTGGCCAAATTCCACCTCGACGTCACCATCGACAAGGCCGTTCGCGATGAGTTCGGCTCCCTCGACCGTGATGGCGTGTTGAGCAAGTTGGATAACCTCCTCGACTACTGTGCTGCAGACGTAGCCATCACTCACAGGGTGTACCAGATTGTGTTTCCAAACTTCTTGGACACTTGCCCTCATCCCGTTAGCTTCGCTGCGTTGCGACATCTTTCGTCCGTCATCCTGCCTGTCAACAAGACATGGGACGCCTACATACACAATGCCGAGGCCACCTACCGAGAGCTTTCTGATGCTGTACAGGAGCGACTGATCGGGCTTACTGAGCAGGCTCTCGCAATCAAGGATGACCCCGAGAAGTGGGGAAACGATCCATGGTTGAAGCAGCTGGACTGGTCCGGCCAGGAGATCAAGATGGTCAAGGGGAAGAAGAAGAACGACCCTCCACGGCCAGCCGCGAGACAAAAGAAGCCGGGCATGCCGAAGTGGTACAAGGACTTGTTCCCGAAGAACGATGCCCCTATTGCCATCTCCGTGCGTACACGCATCGCGCCTATCCTACTTAGACTTTCGTGGGATAACCACCCGCTTTTCTGGTCAGACAAGTACGGCTGGACGTTCAAAGTGGCCTTTGACGAAGCAGAGGCCTACGCGCAGAAGCAAATGGTTGAGTGTGATTTTTCCGACTCTGATACCGATGCGGCACTACTGAAAGAAGAGGGCATCTTCTTCAAGCTCCCCCACAAGGACGGGCCCACGGCACGATGCGTCAACCCGATGGCCAAAAGCTATCTCTCCTACTTTGAGAAGGGCACCTTGTCGTCAGAGTACGCATACGCCAAGGAGGCGCTGGAAATGAATGCGTCATGTTCGTACTGGATCAGTGCTCGGGATCGCATCAGGTCACAGATGGTGGTTTACGAAGATGACCTGTCGGTCAACGATGAAAAGGCGAGCTCTAAGAGGGAGAAGAGCGCTGAGGAAGTCCAGGGCTACATCTTGCCTCAGATCATACCTATGGGTACCATTACGAGACGAGCCGTAGAGAACACGTGGCTCACGGCAAGTAACGCGAAGAAGAACAGAGTCGGATCGGAGCTCAAGTCGATGGTGAAAGCACCACCGGGCTACTGCTTCGTCGGTGCCGATGTTGACTCGGAAGAGCTGTGGATTGCGAGTCTGGTCGGAGACGCAACGTTCAAACTGCATGGTGGCAACGCCATTGGGTTCATGACTCTGGAGGGCACCAAAGCAGCCGGCACAGATCTCCACTCGCGGACAGCAGGTATTCTGGGCATCACGAGGAACGATGCCAAGGTCTTCAACTATGGCCGTATCTACGGTGCGGGCCTCAAGTTTGCCGGTCAGCTATTAAGACAATTCAATCCCAACCTGTCCGAGCAGGAGACAAACGCGACTGCATCAAAACTCTATGCTACGACGAAGGGTACCAAAACCAACAGATCCGTACTCAGCAAGCGGCCGTTTTGGCGTGGCGGGACTGAGTCATTTTTGTTCAACAAGCTGGAGGAGTTTGCGGCCCAGGAGCGGCCGCGCACGTTCGTCCTAGGGGCCGGCATCACGGAGGCCTTGATGCGCAGATTCATCAACCAGAACGGCTACCTGACGTCGCGCATCAATTGGGCCGTTCAGTCATCTGGCGTTGACTACCTCCACCTCCTTATCGTCAGTATGGACTATCTCACAAGGCGGTTTAACATTGATGCCCGTCTCGCCATCACCGTCCACGACGAGATCCGGTACCTCGTCAAAAACCATGACAAGTACCGCGCGGCGATGGCGCTGCAGGTCGCGAATGTCTGGACCAGGGCCATGTTCTCCCAGCAAGTGGGCATTCACGATCTGCCGCAGTCGGTGGCGTACTTCTCGGCCATTGACATTGACCATGTTCTCCGCAAGGAGGTCGACATGGACTGCATCACGCCGAGCCACAAAACGCCGATCCCCCACGGCGAGAGTCTCGACATCACCACGCTGCTTTCCAAGGGCGCCGAGGCCCGCCTCGACCCCGCCATCGTGCCCGACCCCTCGCACGCGCCCAAGTTTGACGGCATCGAGTACACGCCTCGCACGCCCGTCATGGAAACGCTCGAGGACAAGGCGACGGCCGACACCTTTTTCCTCAAGGCGCAGATCGCCAGCAGCGAGGCGGAGTTGAGCCAGGTGCTCAAGGACAGGAGAACGGCGCTCAAGGCGCAGGAGGAGAAGATGATGACGCCCAAGCCGCCCAGGGCCAAGAAGGAGCGCAGCGTGTTGCCGTACCACTCAGACGCGAAGCTGGTGCCCACGATGACGGTCTCGGACGCGATTGGGAATAGGTTCTCGCGGTACGATGGGAAAAGCAAGTGGACAACGTGGCAGAAGGAGAAGGGCGTGGGCCGGTCGGGTCCCAGCTCTAGCTATAATGTAAGATGATGAGGTGGTGGTGTTGTACGATGTTTGTAAATGCCTTGACGGCAATCTCTATCTACTATGTATGTTACGCGAACCTGGTTGTCTTGAAAAGTCGGGAGCTCGATTACTTGCAGAAGAAGCGAGTTGGTGTTTTGTAAGGGGCTTGGCGTTAGTTGTATATGGAGGGACGGCAACATTTCCGTTTGCGATGTCTGATACCAATCATGAATGTTTCACCTCACGATATCCATGGTTGATGTGTGTTCGTACTCAGTTTTACTTACTCTTTGGCCCCTGTCCCAAAGGATTTTTTTGATTTTTTTTCTTTCTTCATTATTAAGACTTGCAAATCAAGTGATACAAACCGTCTAAACCAGATGGACGCCATAAGCCAGCTCCTCAAAACAAACTATTACGCTCACCACCTTATCTAAAGACCAACCCAGGAAACACTATAAGACAGGCCTTTGCAAGCCATTTAAAGCCAACTATACCGGCGAAAAAGACAGACGAACTCGAACCCCATTTACACACTTCCCAACCTTACACCATTTGTACGAGGCATGAGATAACCGACCAGCGGCGCGGGCACCCTTCTCAGTTCTTCTTCATCTTCAACACGATCCACGCCGCAATGCGGTATCCGATGATGATGGAAAGCATGATGCCCACGTCCCTGCCAAAATGGTTCTCCGTGTACCCGTACGTATCGAGCACGCCCTGCCCGGCAATCTTGCACTCGCTCGCCAGCGGGGTCTGGTACATACACTGACACCCCTTGCCGCAGGTATACGTGCGCTGCCCAAACTCGTTGTGCATCATGCCCTCAAAAACATACTTCTGATAGTCCCAGTAGTGAAACACGTATTTGTAGAACGAGTTGAGAATGGTGGGGGAGACCATGAAGCCGTTTACGCTCATCCAGAGGCCGTTGGCAAAGGCGACGAGGGCGAGGCTGATGACGAAGCTGGGGAAGAGGGAAACGAAGAAGACGACGAGGGACTCGGCGGCGAGTAGGTCGAGGAAGAGCCAGAGGACCCAGATGAAGAAGGCGGTGGCCGAGGGGCGGAAATTGGAGAGCCAGTACGAGATTACGGAGAAGATGAGGGCGATGAGGAAGAGGTAGGGGATACCGATGAAGAAGTTTGAGATGAGGAGGGCTGTGGGTCCGTAGAGGCCGTTTTGGTGCTCTTTGACGTATTGGTCGCGGTCTTCGAGGAACTTGAGTTGGTTCATGTTAGTTTTGGGTTTGTCAGGGGGGGGGGGTGAGGAGGGGTGCGTACGCTTGGGACCGCAGCTACTGCCATGAAGCTCATAAAGGCACCACCAAAGAACTAGTACAATGGTCAGTAAATCCCGGGAATCAGGTTTGGTATGGGTTGTAGGGGCACTTACAATGGCGTTGGTCAAGGGGATAATGGACTCTTGGTCGGTCGAAAGGCGAAGCCAGACCGTACCCATCATGATGGCCAGACCTAAATCGAGTCAGTTCACCATCCTCTAGGTACAAACATGACTCCAGATAACTCACCAGTGTACATGGCAAACCGGATCCCATACGCCACAACATCCCGATAACTCTTGATGAAGCTCCGGTGCAGCAACGTGAGCGCAAGACTCGGCAAGCCGGGCTTCTTCTCCGCCTGGTCGTCCTCGAAAGCGTTGCTGTTCTTCTCGGCGTCGGCGATGGCGGCCCGCAGCTCCTTGGCAGGGCGCGACTCCTCCCAGGCGCCGTGCATCGCCTCGAGCTTCTGCGCCGCCTGGCGTTTGTCCTTGACGAAATCCGTGTTGACCATCTCGAGTACGTGCTCGGCTGGGTTCACCTGCGTGGGGATCGGCATACCGAGGGACTCGTAGTAGGGAACCACGTTGTCGACGGGGCCAAAGTAGTGCGTCTTGCCGGCGGAGAGGAGGAGAAGCTTGTCAAAGAGGTTGAAGGTTGAGGTGGAGGGTTGGTGGATGGAGGCGATGACGATGAGCTGTTTGGTGTTAGTGTTCAGTGCTTCCATGGCAGCTACCTTGGGCCAGTTGAAGGCAGACGACTCGACTTACATTGCTTCTCTTCGCCACGGTCTTGAGGTAACTAATTACCTCAAAACTCGCCGCAGAATCCAACCCACTCGTCGGCTCGTCCAGAAACATGATCTTCGGGCTCGTGATAAGCTGGCTCGCCACACCGACACGTCTCTTCTGCCCGCCCGAGATGCCCTTGCGGATCGGCGTGCCAATGATGGTGTTGGCCTGCTCGTTGAGACCGAAAGCGTTGAGCAGGCCGTCGATGCGCGCGAGGCGCTCGCTGGCGGGCAGCGAAGAGGTGCTGGAGAGGCGCGAGGTGAAGAGCAGGGTCTCGCGGACGGTGAGAGAGCCGATGAGGGCGTCCTCCTGCTCGACGAAGCAGCTGATCTGGCGGAACTGGGAGCGCGAGGGCTTCGCGCCGTTGACGAGGACGGAGCCGGATACCGAGGAGGCGTTTGTGGGGCGGCCTGCGAGGACGTTGAGGAGGGTTGTCTTGCCGCAGCCCGAGGGGCCCATGAGAGCGCAGATTTCGCCTGTGAAGTTGTGTGGGTGAGTAATGGTATGTGGCATGTGAGTAGAGTACAAGGAATTGCAAGACGTACCAGCTTCCACGATCCCGTTGACA